TGGATAAATGTGACTGCACTGAACTAAAAAGTTTCTGCAAGGCCAAGGATGTAGCTGACATGTGAAAATGATAGCTTACAGAACAGAGGGAATTTTCCTGTTTATAATTTTGTTGTATTTCTAGATCATATTTGTTGACCCTTGCTGCATTTGCATGATAGAGGGTGGCTCTTTAATGAATAGAGCCTGGAAAAATATGTCTACGAGTTTCATCATGATGAATAGCTAGTTAATGTTAGCTTAATATTTCAAATATTCACTGTCAGCAAATGGAGACAAGCCTTTCACTGGGGAGGGGAACCGCAGCGGTGTTTAACCCAGCTCTCACATTCAAAAAAGAGTTCATGTGGAGGCTTTTAATTTTATGCCTGAATGGCACCAAAGAAGACTATCCAGAGGATCAAATCAAAACGTTTCAACCCGCCACCTTAATTGTTAACTGTAATTATTCAACTATACAAGAGTGCAAGATCTTTCAAAGGATGTTTAGATTTTTTTAAAAAAAGTATTTTGAGGACCTCAGCAATAAATGCTGCCTATACTTCAAATCATTTTTCCCTTTTATTGTTTTGTCTGTCTTGAGGTAGAAATAGGAAACCTAAATTGTATATATTTGAAGTGTAAAGCATGATGCTTAGATATAAGAATACATTGTGAAATGATTACATCAATCAACCCATTGTCACGTGTGGAAAGAACAAGGTGTGAACAATGGGCACCACTCCCATTCAGGAGGTCCCCAACCTTAAGCCCTCATCCTTTTCCAAAGATACCACCTCCCAGTATCTCTTCACTAGGGATTGCTTCTTCCACATGTAAATTTTGGAGGGACATAAACATTCATACTCTATCAGACCATTTTACAAATGGAACTTTTTTCAGCTGAGTTGTTTGAGTTTCTTCTAAATGTTTAAATTTTACCTCTTAATAAATACTTGATCTGCATATATTTTCTCCCATTCTATAAGTTATCTCCACACTCTGTTTCCTTTGTTTTGTGGGAGCATCTTAGTTTGATGAAATCATGTGTTTGTTTTTTATCTTTTGTGTTGGGGATCATATCCTAAAAATAATTGCATAATAGAAGCTTTATCCTGCATTTGGTTTTTCCCTCTAGTACTTTAACATTTCAGGTCAAATCATTCATCGGTTTGATTTGATGTTTGTATGTGATGTGAACAGTTGCTTATATTTCATTTTCTTTCTAAATTTTCTTTTTCAATTTTCCCTATACCATATACCAACGTAAGTTTTGTTTCTTCATGTTTGCTCTTGGGATATTTGTTGGATAGCAATTGACCATATATATGTGTGTGTATATATATATGTATATAATATTTAGTTCATTTGTCTACTTGTGTATCTGTGCTGTACTACAGTTTTGAAGCTTTGCCACATATTTTGAAATCAGGTAGCATGATGCTTGTACATTTGTTTTTCTTGCCCAAGAATAGATCAGGATCTTTTGTAGCTCTGTATCAATTTTAGAATGGCTTTTCCAAATCAGAAGAATTCCATGGGAAAGTTGCAGAAACTGTTCCGAATTCAGTTCATAGATTGTTATGGGAGATATGGACATTTATCAGTATTAACTCTTCTGGTCATGAGTATCTTTTCATTTATTAGTGTCTTCAGTTTCTTTCACTTATTTCTATAGTTTTCTCTATATGGAACTTTTACTTCTTAATTATTTGTATTACTATTTAATGTTGTAGATATTTAAATTGGCTTTTTAAATTGATTTTTGAGAGTTCAGTGTTAGAATGTTGAAATGTGACTGAGTTTTTTATGTTGGTTGCTTTTTAAAAATCCTACAGCTAAACTAAATTTGATTATTAATTCTGACAGTCTTTTAAGTCCACCCATTCCTCTGTAAAAGACCATATCTTCTGCAAACATAGACAGTTTTACTTATTTCTTTTAAAGTTTTATGTCTTAGCTCTTCCAAGCTTTATTGTTGTGGCTGGAACTTCTAGTAACATATCAAATTGAAGTGAGGAGACTGGACGGCCTTGTCCTTGTCCTTGAGCTAGATGATATGCTTTCAGATTTTCACCATCACCATGGCGTATTATGTATGGTTTCCTATATGTGGTTTTTACATTGCTGAGGTCCATTGTTTCCATATTATTTATTGAGTATGTTTATCATGAAAAGAAGTTAGGTTTTCTGCATCTACACTCATTATATGATCATAATTTTCTTAAATCATTCATTGTTAACCAAGTATAACATATTTATTCATTTTATTATGTTGCCTTACGCTTGCATCCTAGGGGCAAACCCCACTGGCCTTGGAATATAATACTTTCAATGTACTATTGAATTTTATTTTCTTGTATTTTGTTGGAGACTTTTGAATATATATTCATGAAGAATATTGGCCCCTAGTTTTCCCTTTTTTTAGTATCACTCTCTCACTTTGATAGGGGGTAATGCTGACTTCATAGAATGAACTTGGATATTCAAACTTACTGTTTCTAAGTGAGGATTTACCACTGCAATTTTGTTAATTTCTTTGTCAGTTTTGTAGTTCTTTTCTTCTGCTCTGGCTACTTTCCTTTATAATTTGATGATTTTGTTTTTCAGTCAAGTCAGAGTTTCTTTCTTTTTATCTTGTATCTGTCTACTTGGAGGGGTTTAAATAAGACATCTTATTAAACATGATATTTTAAGCAGATAAATATTTATCTTACAGCATGTGTAAGAACTGGTGGCCTTGTTCTACTGCTTAAGTTTATATCAAAACTGAGGTTGAGTGGTCACTTCAGTGTCCTTCCAGCACACAGCAAGTATCCATCCTTTTCTAAACTTTACTGCAGGAGTCTGAGGGCAAATCTTCATGGTCAACTTGAAACTGTCCTTCCTTTCTTCTTATAGGAGTTACAGCAGTTTTTTTTAATCTTGATTCCTTAGTTCCTATGAATGTGTTTTTCTGTTATACAGTATACATATATGGTTGTCAATTTGATGTTTCCATGAAGAGATGAATGCTAGAAATTGTTCTACCATCTTATCATCAATCTTGAAAATCCTAGTACAGAAAGCAGAGATTCTGGATAAGAGAAAAGAAGTGTTTTTTACCCTTATTCTACATGGCAGGAAAACTATCAATTCATAAATGAAAGTGAGATATAAAAAACTTTCCAGGAGGATCTCTCTTGGCTATGCTAAAGAAAATAGTATGGTCGGTGTGCTGCAATAAACAGGCAACTTGGTGGAGCATTCTATTTAGTTTTGTTTATTGTTGAACTTATCGGTCAGCTTCCATTAACCTCAATGGACTAAAATTCCATGTGGGTTAAAATATGAAAATCCAAGAATTAGTAATGCATCAAGATTTTTGTTTTGCTTCTGAATTATTACAAAATAGATTTTCAGTGAATGAGGAAAAATGACCTCTAATCATTCTCAGAAAATCAGATGAAGGTGTTAGTATCCTGTGTAAACACGTGAATACAGGAATCCAGTGTGTGTGTGTGTGTGTGTGTGTGTGAGTGTGGTATGTAGAGAGATGGGGAGAGAGGAATTATATAGAGTCATAATTTAAATTACATATAATTCCTTATTCAATAACTAACAAAATACTTGGAAAAATGCTTCCCTTTACTTTTTTCCCCCTAAGATCTCTGCCTAGTCTGAAATGGTATTTTTTTCAAAGATAGAAACCATAATTTATAACTGATCATTTAAAAGTTAGATGTTTATATTTCAGTTCCTCGTAGGACTGAATTTTAATTACGTACGTAGATTTTAACACTTGTTCTTCATCTTTCATATTCCTATACCTTGTTTTACTGAAAGTCAGTGGGAGTGGCTAAGTAATAAATGCTGATTTTAATTCTAAACTCAGGGAACCACAAAATTATAATGTGGAATCTTAGAAAATGTTATAGGAGGCACAGAGATTGGGATTTCTTCTATATCATTGATTATCAAATTTTGACCCCAAAACCTCTAAGGAATTTAGTTTACATTTATACTCAGTGATACATTAGGTATATACTGTCCCCTCCCTCTACTAAGTTAAACTTTATCAGCGCTCATATCTTCTGTATGCATCTAAGAAATCATCTATGCCAATTATGTCTAATCTACAACTCGGTTATTTCTCCTGCTAATCTGTGTGTAAACAGGAATAATAGTGCTATCTGGGAAAACTGAATCCTGTGTCAGAGTTCTGAGGATTCCCATTGAGTCACAGTTCCCTTTTTACTTAGAGATAGTAAAAGTCTATCCACTTACCTTCAGGGATTATTTGTGCTTTGATCAGAAAATGTTAATGTTTACAAAATCACTGTGACAAGGGTGTTGATGGCCAAATTGATTCTAGATCATAGTTCTGCAAGTAGAGTTCTCTGTAGAATGCAGGAAAAGCATTTTCTGACAATCGGTGTAAGCAATTGTGGGAAATACGAAATTGACTTAAGATGAATGAGATAGATGACCTAAATCCATTTCCAAAATGTGTCATTTTCTGTGGAAGGGATGATTCACTGCAGTCATAAGTAGATATATTAATTCATCCTTTACTCCTAAATATTTGAAAGCAATAATGAAGAAATGCTCATTATGCAAAGTTTATGACTTCCATTTGGGACTAAATTTTAATATATATTTGAGTAAAATTTTAGATGTGCTTATCAGTAAGTCTTAGAAGGCAATGATGTCAATATTTTTTTAAAAAACCCCAAAAATACTAGAATATCTATACACTGTGATTATTTTTCCTAAAAGAATTGTTGAAATATCAGCATACATCTATTCAAATGTGGCTGATGTTTGATTCTCCACAAGACATTATTGGCTCTAACGAGGAGACATCTAATCAGGTTGGATAGATATTTCTTGAAATGATGCATGGTATGCAGTGCATGCTTTCATTGTGCTTCCTACCATTATGGAATAACATGTCTTATTTGGAAATACAGTGAGCATTTCGGTTAAGTCATGCTCAGGCAGCTTATGTAATAACATCTACATTTTGTGAATCATTTCAGATTTCAGAGAGCTATGCCTTCCTACCAAGAGAAGCGGTGACACGGTTTCTAATGAGCTGCTCAGAGTGCCAGAAACGAATGCATTTAAACCCAGATGGAACAGATCATAAAGGTAGCTGCAGTGTCAAATAGTGAGACTTAAAGTAATTTTATTCATAATGGCAATTTATATCTCCCATTTTTAGAAAAACGTGGTACATTGAGACAGTTCAACAGGTCAGATCATCTCATTTATTCAAGTAAGACTCAGTAAATTTTGAATACCCACTTACAAAGTAATTCAGAACTCATTCTTCAGAGATGGTTTTTACTCTGGCAAATAACTTCTTACTATAATAATGTCCTAATTTTCATTATTGTATGATTTCATTGTGTTTTAGGTATCCTCAACAAGGAAAATGGTTTCTACTAATGTCTTTTCAAGTGTATCAGTTTCTTATTTCTAGAAATCATAGACAATGTGGAGTTACCATATGTCAAAAATTATGTAAGATTACAATTTGATTTTAGTTTTCTTTAATTAAAATATCTAGATTAGTTTCCTAAATACAAATTTACTGTAATGAAATGAATCTCAGAGATACATATAAATTAGTATATTGCCATTCCTGGAAGATGAATAGTCTGGTCAAAAAAAAGAAAAACTAAGGGATAAAAGGAAATTTACTATGCACACAAAAATACATATAGAAATAAATTGTGTAGCAAAGAGTTAAATATGCAAATAAATATGTTCAGTATGTTAATTAGTTTAATTCACTGTCATTCAGGATATTTAAAAGTTCCCCTGTCGTTAGAAATAATTCCTTTATCTGAATAGTGAATTTGGGTCAGTATGTCTCTATGTACCTTGTAGGTTCTTTTCCTGCAATCCATCTAGAATACGACTACATTTATAAAATCCTATTTTAATTTGGAAAGATCAGATCATTCTGAAGTTACAGGTGCAAAACCGTATTACTTTCATGATGCATCTGCCATGTTTTGTTACAGACAATGGAAAACCTCCTACTCTAGTGACCAGCATGATTGATTACAACATGCCCATTACCATGGCCTACATGAAGCACATGAAGTTACAGCTGCTAAACTCACAGCAAGATGAGGTAAAGGGAAGAATCTGCCTCCAGTCACCTGCATGTCCGAATGTACTTTGATAACCATGACTATTGTATGAAGCATGGTGATATTCTGAAGACAGTCATTTATAATTTTAATGAAAAAGATGCCACCCAGATTACACTGATGGAAAATAATGGGCAGAAAATTAAGTTTTGTGTACACAGTCCCTTAGTATTGATCATGAGGAAATTTGTTAATTCATTTTTTTGGGTTGGTTGTGGGGCTTGAACTCTGGGCCTGGGCGCTGTCCCTCAGCTCTTCAGCTCAAGGCGCGTGCTCTACTGCTTGAGGCACAGTGCCACTTCTGGTTTTCTGGTGGTTTATTGGAGATAAGAGTCTCAGGGACTTTTCTACCTGGGCTGGCTTTGAACTGCGATCCTCAGATCTCAGCCTCCTGAGTAGCTGGGATTACAGGCATGAACCACCGATGCCCAGTTAATTTGTTCATTCTTAAGAAAGTTTTCCTACCTTAAGGACCACCATTGAGCTGATCTGGTAAAGTCCGGTGGTGGGAGGTGTGTGAGGGGGAATATTCAGCTAAAGTGTGTTTAGCTAGGAAAATCAAGTATGAAGGCTATTTTATCTGAGTCAGAGAAATCAATTTAATAGGTATCAACCAAATAATGATTTCTCTGTTATATTTTCTCTGTATATTTTTAAAGTTCTTTATCATTGAATTATTTTACATATTTGTTAGTTTCTCTCCATTTTCTACAAAATGGCGGTTATTCTAATGAGAGGTTCTTTGAAAAGTCAAATTTATTACATTTAATTTGTATAGGAAAATCTGGCAATGTGCTGTTATGTATTGGATACAAATGTAGATTTATTTAACAGTCTCTACAATTCTAGTTGCCTCCCACCTGGATTGAATGATTTCAAACTCAAGGATTAAGTTATATATAGACCTTGTTTATAGTTTGCAAATTATGTCACAACTACTAATATCCCACCTAAACTAATCAGATCCTTGATAAAGAATTAGCTGGGTGCTGATGGTTCACATTAGTAATCCTAGCTTACTCAGGTGGCTGAGAACTGAGGATCACAGGTTGAAACCAGCCCAGATAAGAAAGTCTGTGAGACTCCTATTACTAATTAAACACCCAAAAATGCCAGAAGTGGAGCTGGGGCTCAAGTTGTAGAGCACTAGCCTTGAGCACAAAAGCTTAGGGACAACACCAAGGCCCTGAGTTCAAGACCCAGAAAGGCATTAATAAAAACTTAAAGGAGATAGTCATTAATTAGTAGAAACAGAGAGACTATATTAGGAAGAGATTCTCAGGCTAATGAGTTCTCTTTAAAATTCTTCTATAATAGTTAATGTAGTTATTATGTACTTTTCAAATATACCGAAGTTAGGTGAAAAGCCATTAAAACCTTCTAAAATTATTTTTGAGTTAACTTTTAAAATAAAACTTTTAAAAATAAAAATCTTTTTATTTGTCTCTGTATTTGGAAAAGTTTCATCTCAAACCTGTATTTATAAAAATCATTTGATTTCAATAGACTGTATTCAGGCTTTAGTCTCCAAGAATATCCCTATTAGTCAAGTGACTTTACAAAAATTACTTACTATAGGATGGCTAAATATAAGTCATTAAATAGTACCAAAACCAGAAAGCTAACCCTTTCAAAATCAAGTGAGGAAATATTAGTATCTATTAAAAGCTAAGAATTTAAATTTATCAGTAAGATTCTTACATAATTGGGAAAAATGCCTCATAACTAGAGATTTTAAATTATTTGTAGAAAACTCAGTTAGATGTTAATATGTCTATTTCTAGGCCAAAAAGTAAGATCAACTAGGTGCCAGCAATTTAGCCCACATTCTCTGAGACCTTCTGTTTCTAAAAATTCATAAGTATTTTACACAAAAGAAGTCTTTTCAATTTGTAACTACAGTAAGAAAATAAATTTTACACTCAGAGTTTGAAAATATTGAATTGGATATGCACCATCACAATATCCAGATAATTCATTATTCAAATAATAAATGATTTAATAATTTAGATATCTAAAGAAGCATATCTTCTAGAATGTGGAACAGACCATACAAATAAAAGATTATAAATAAAAACATACCATATACTGTTAAGGGAAGTAAGGACAACATTGGAATTCCTTTAGAGCTAAGGATTATTGATTACTTCAAAGCTCAGTGGTAAAGTGCTTGCCTAGCATCTGTGAGGTCCTGGGTTTGATCATCAACATTAAAAGAAAGATGGAAAGAAAGAAAGAAGGAAGTAGAAAATAGGAAAGAAGGAAGGAAAAGGAAAGAAGGAAGGAAAGGAGGAAGATACACACACATACACGCACACACATATTGTTGTTGTTGTTGTTGGTTATGGGGCTTGAACTCTGGCCTGAGCACTATCCCTTAGCTCTTCAGCTCAAGGCTAGCACTCTACCATTTGAGCCACAGCACCACATCTGGTTTTCTGGTGGTTTATTGGAGATAAGAGTTTCACGGCCTTTCCTGCACTGACTGACTTTGAAACGCAATCCTCAGATCTCAGCCTCCTGAGTAGCAAGGATTACAGGCATGAGCCACCAGCACCCAGCTAAGAATTGCATTTTATTAACTATGTGTCATTTGTGAAGAATTGAAGAAAACCAGGGCATATGTATCAGAGGGATGTATTTCAAGGTTTTTGAGGCAGGTGCATGCTACCCAAGGCATATGTCATGGCCATTTACTCAGTTATACTCATCTGACAATTGCATTGGGTTTACTGGTCCAAGAAAGTTTCACTTATGTATCTGGCTCCTTGATACTCCTTTATATGGTGCCTCTTTACCTATTTGGCTAGTCTGACTATCTTAACAGTATAGTGATTCCAAAGTCAGACATCTTATATAGCAAAGGATTTTCAAGAGTCTGGAAGCAGAAGCTCCATGCCCATCTGGGACTATCTATTTAATTTGGCCATATTTTATTGGCCAAAATAAATGACAAAGCTAGATAATCTTTCAACAGAGTAAAATCAACACTACTGGTTTTGCTGGCTTCCATCTTTGGAGATTATCCATTAAATTGGTCAATACTATGAAACATAAATAACAACAACAAAAACCTTCAACATCAGGTCTGAGCTTGTTGGTGAATGTTTATAATGCCAGTTCTGAAGGAGGCCAAGGTTAAGAAGATCTCAATATCAGGAGAGCTAAGGTAGAGAGTTAGTAATAGCATATCTGTAACAACGCGGGCATGGCACATCTTGGTATTCCAGCTATGTGGGAGGTAGAAGGATAATCAAGGTCAAAGGCTTTTTCTAGAGTTCAGAAGGTGGCTCAGTGGTAGAGTGCTTGCCTTGCATGCATGAAGCCCTGGGTTCAATTCCTCAGTACCATATACACAGAAAAAGCTGGAAGTGGCACTGTGGCTCGTGTGGTACAGTGCTAGCCTTGAGCAAAAGGAGGCTAAAAGACAGTACCCAGACCCTGAGTTCAATCCCCAGGACTGGCAAAAACAAAACAAAACAAACAAACCAATAGCAAAGGCTTTCTCTAGACCCTATCTGAAATATAACGAGACAAAAAGGGGGAAGGATGTGATTCAAGTGGTAAAACACTTACCTGCCAAGCTCAAGACACTGTGTTCAAATACAAAACAAGAAAACAAATAAACATATTCAACCTCTCATAGTTTTCAAAATAATTCTCAATGAATTAATCTACTTTGGGTTTGCCACTTTTGAAATACTTGTGTCCAGAGCAAGAGCTATCTCCTTATCAAGTGTTGATGAGAGTTCACATCGGAGTCAAGGTTTCGGGGAAGTTTGGGAGTATTTATTTAAAACTCTCAAAGATATTACCATGCTTTGACTAGAAGCTTATAGGAAAGAATGGGATATGGGAAGCCAAGCATGTATTAGCATGTATGACAGTAACTGACAGTTACTGTCAGTACATTACTGGATATCTTTCCAAGATCTAATAATAAAGCATTGTGAAATCTGCAATGCCCCATATTTACTAGGCACTAAGAACCGTTTAATTTAGATTTAATTAAAATTAGTTAAAAGCAAACATTCAGTTGTTTCTTCTTTTTTTTTAAAATTTTTCGGTCGTGGGGCCTGAAATTTGGGCCTGGATGTTGTCCCTCAGCTCTACAGCTAAAGGCTAGCACTCTACTGGCTTTTTCTGCGTATGTGATGCTGAGGAATTGAACCCCCGGCCTCATGCAAGGCAAGCACTCTACCACTGAGCCACCTTCCTAGCCCCAACATTCAGCTTTTAAGTAGCACAGCCACCTGGCAAGCGTTCCAAAGCTGTGTGGCTAGAATTTCCTGCTGCGTGTGGAGCCTGGGGCAGGGCAGTTTCATCAATACAGGGTGTTTTCTAAAATAAAGGAGCATCAAGCAGCCAGGCATATTTGCCCCTTTTTGAACTGAATGCTGTGGGAAAACACCACAAGGATTCCACTTCTAGGTCTGCTATGGAGACCCTGGGGATACGTATTTTATGCAACAGACATACCCATACACACCAAGGTTTGATGTGCGGTATCGAATTCAGATTGTAGTTGTATATGCTTTCAGTTGACACGACAATATGTAAGTGAGGATAATAAAACTACCAACTCATGAGATTGATGGGGATGGTTTTCCTGCAATTGTATAGAAAATCCTAACTGATTGATTGAATTGTTAATGTATTACTTAATAGACAATGTCTGCACATTGAAGAGCAGAAAAGGGGCTGCTCAGAATAGTGGCCTGCTCAGGAGTAGTTAAGTAGAACTGCTGTGGGAGAAATTGGAGGTGGGTGAGATAATTAAGAAACCGATATGTGATTCAGTAAATAGGAAAATAAGAATTTGAACTAATCAGGATGATATTGATGAAAATTTGGAAGAATATAGTAGAAATTCTTTAGAGGGAAAATCAGGAATCCAAACTATTGAATTTGTTGCAGATAGAAGTCTATGTCATCTTCCTATGACAGAAAGAAAAGTTTAATTATTAAGTTTCAACATGTAACTACCATAATTAGATTTTTTAAATGGCAAAGACTGGAAAAATTCTCACACAAAAATTGTTCCAGTTTTTTTTTTCCAATTAAGTTTCAAGGAAGAGCAATTACTGTGGTTGTTGGCCATGTTTTTCATTGTCATGTGATTTTAATCACATAGTATGTGAACAACATGAAAACTTTTATCTTGATATTCCTCTAGGAAGAATGTAGGTGCTGTAAAGATGATCATGAATGAAGTTACTACTGAATAAATTATCAATCAACTTTTCTGATCATTTACCTTTAGGAACATTCTCTAGGTTTTTCTGAGGACAAATTACATCATCTTTCTGTTGACAAGAAGTACAATCATATATTTCATAAACTTAGCAAAATTTATGCTATCTTTTAAAAATAATTTAATCAATTATTGCTTAGACTATTATAGAACAATTATTTGCACTTAGTTAAATTAAAGCTGATTATAAATGTGTGACAATTCAATAAGAACTGGGAAAAACAAATTATACTTCATATTTAAAATGTTCATCATCATTAAGCTAGTCATGATAATAAAAATGTTAAAACTGGCTTGATTTAAAAAACAAAAAACAAAATAGCATTGCATTACATTTGATTACATGGCATTTTAATCCTTTGCTCAAATTTCTTTAAAAGCATACTGATGAGAGTATGTTTTAGTGATGATAAATGCATATGGATTTTTTATAATGTGCTATAACAGTTTGTTCAACCATTTTACAGAATAAGGCTGTGACTTGAGTCTTTGCGTCTAGCTCTTCTTTAAACACACAAAAATTCACCCCTACATAAATGCTGTAAAATGAATTCTGTTAGCTCACATGTAGTTGGCTAACTGTAGAACACACAGTTACTTTAGAAATACATATTGGTCAGCTCTACCATTCTACTGTGAATTTTAGTATTTCTTTGTATAGTATATAAATAAATATATAAAATTATATAACATCTATAAAATCTATAAATATATGATTTATTATATATTTATTATATATTCTACATAAAATACTCATGTTGTGTTTGTTATATACCTAACATTATCCAAGATGTTCTATATTATATTCTCCCACTCCTCATATAGCCCCATGCAATTGGCAGTGATACTATTCCTGTTCTATAGATGAGCAAGGCAGAATCCAGGGAAGGCTTGGTAACTTGCTTATGCTAACTGTGTTGATCAGCTGCTCATGTGAACTACCTGAGATAACGGAAAGAGGTGAAGGATTTATTTTGGCTCACGGTTTTGGACCTTCCATCTATTGTTGGTCAACTCCATCATTATGAGTTCTGAAGCATCATGGCTTGGAAACACGAGGTGGAACAGAGAGGCCCATAGCATGGCAGGTGGGAGCTGAGATAGGAAGGGTCTGAGGACAAAGTGTACCCCTCAAAGGCATGCTCCCAGAGTCTGCTTCCTCCAGCCAGAACCCAACTTTAGATAATCTATTCTGCTATGAAGTTATCCAAGGACTGATCTATAGATACAGTTACTGGCCTCATGAGTCAGAGGAGGGGGTCCAAACCTTTAATATATGAACCTATTAGCAAGATACTTTATATCTAAACTATAATAGTAATACATCTAACAAGGGGAAGAGCATGGATTCAGGAAGGCTGGCTCCTGAATATATATACGATATTACCAACACTGTGTGTGCTGTCTCTCTCTCTCTCTCTGTCTCTGTCTCTGTCTTTATATATATACATACATACATACACACACACACACATACACACATATATATAAATTGGTTTCTTAATTTTTTTAGTATGTGTTTTATTTCAGGTACTTCAGATTTTCTTAAATGGAGAAAGCAGTGTCACTAAGAGATAGGACATTGTGCCAGGAGAAATATGTCTGGATGACTGTCCAGAGAGGTCTGCCAAGGTGGCATTTCCTTGCTAAGTGAAAAATGAGCTGATGCTACTCAGTAAACATAGATACAGCAAATCTTTGTTGAAGGAAAGCATCTAAAATCATGTAACAGGGCTGGGATGTAGCTCAGTGGCAAAGCGCTTGCCTAGCAAGCGCAACGTCCTGGGTTCGATCCCCAGTACCAAAAAAGAAAAGACAAAAAAAATACAGTTATTAAATACAACACACAGAAAAAAAATACAGTTAAAATCATGTAACATTCCCTTCTGGGAATGTTAATTTGTTAGTCTATGAAAGCATTCCTCTCAGCTGACTGTGGCAGCTTCTTTGCTGATAACATGTTATTTTCAAAGCAAAGAATTTACTAGCTTCGTGCTGGTGTTTTATACCTAGCTATTTGGAGGCTGAGGTCAGGAGAATAATGGTGCCAGGCCAGCTTGGGTAGAAAAATCTAGGAGACTGGGCTTCCTCCCACCTATGAAGGGAAGCTGAAAATATGAGGATCGTGTCCACCTGCAGCCCTCGCAAGAAATGAGATACTCTCTTAAAACCAGAGGAAAAAGGATCAGGAGCATGGATAGCTAGGTGGTAAGGTGGTAGAGTACCTACTCAGAAAGTGATTTAAAAAACACAATTCCCTAATTTTTGAGGGCTTCTTATAGATCATGTTTTATGTATAATACTTGAAATGATTATTTTACTACTATGTGCCCCAGTTTATTCATACATAAAATAATAAATTCCAGTTTGCACTTTATATGTGTGATTGTGTTGGAGTGGGTGAGCAGATATTGAAGAACAGTGTTGGAAGCATAAATAACTGCTAATTAGTACATAAGTGTCAAACTTAAAGATCAAACATTTATAGAAGTCAAACCTCCTGTTTTGTGTCGAGACATTTATTTTCGCACAGGTTTCTTAAAACTTGTTACATATATGTCATTTGTCTAAAATCAATTCCCCAAAAGGAGTTTGTCTCAGAAAACAACTATACAGTATTTTACGTTTAGTTTGTTGTTATTGGACAGGGTTACAGGCATTGGCCACTTAGAAATCCAACTTTAGATAATTTAGACATTTTATGAATTGAACTTTAGCAAATAATCTTGCACAATTTTGTCTAGATTCCTCTTTGTGGTTGTAGCATAATTTATATACTATCTGTGAGAAAGATAGGGTGGAATAAAAACACCAAATTTGGGATCAAAACATGCACATTTGCCTATTAGTAGATTCTTTACTATTTGCCTAATGAAAAGTTTTTAAGAAGTCTTCTTTTTTCTCACTGTATTCTATAATGTTTTGTGTATAATGCTTTGTCAGCTAATTTATTTTATAATTAGAATTTATAGTTCCATTTTTGTCCAGTTTTAGACTGAATCTTCTAGGAGATATTTACAAAACTTTTCATTCTTTTCATTATTCAGGCTAATTTTTTTCCCCTGCACATATTATTTTATCTTTAAAAGAATGTATATAATTTCATCTATATATGCCTGTTTCATTATTCACAAGTCTTGAAATTCCTTGAAGAGAATAAAATATTAGTGGTTATTTCAGTTGATTGTTAGTATATAGCATATTTTACTGAGTTCTGTACACCTTACTGACTAAACTGTAAGTGGATATTTAGGTAAAATCACTCTTCTTTGAATTCATTTGTTTTAAAACTGTTTTCAGGATGAAAGTTCAATAGAAAGTGATGAGTTTGACATGAGCGATTCAACACGGATGTCGGCTGTGAACTCTGACCTTAGCTCCAATCTTGAGGAGAGAATGCAAAGTCCTCAGACACTGCATGGCCAGCAAGACGGTAAGCCTTTCAGCTTAAACAGTAAATAAAGTAATTAAAACCAAAGAGTCCAGGTCTAACAAAACAACCTAACTTCTAACTTCACATCCATATTTTAAATGTGCATTGATATTTTTTTCTTTTGAGGACTCAGGTCATCCATTTTATTGCTTTTAAATTTAATTCGTATGTTCAAATCTAAACTGACTGTGTCTTATGACATTGAAATCCAAATGCATTCATGTTTTATTCCTCAATTAGAGGAATGCTAGAGGACTGTCGTTTGGGTTTCTGCGATATGATTTGTAGCTTTGGTTTCACAGGCCATTTTTTTTTTGACTGAAGAGTTTACATCTTACATCTGATTAAAACATTTGAGTGTTTTTCTTTTGGGTAAAGATCAAGGTGTGACAAAAATGGAGAAGATACTAAGTGATGATTTTTCCAGAGTGGTTTTGCTATATGAGCATATATTTTGCTACCAATCTTAGCTATTTTATTGAAAGTAAGGAAATGTGATGTCTTATTCTAAAGTCTTGATGACTTTTTTAGTCATCCACTGCACTTGTAGAAAAGAAGTACAGAGAAGAGACATGGTGGTCACAATTGATGGCCTGATGTTTGCAAAAGTCTTGGAAACTGTAGGCTTTTGCCATTTTAATTAACACATTAAGGGTAGAAATAATGTATCCTATCTGGATAATAGTGGCTAAAAAAGGAAGGCTATAATTAGAAGGAAACTAATTTATTATTCCTATAATTGATCTATTTGCATGATCTTTTGGACTGGTTTGTTTCATGCCTACATCTGCAGTTAGGGAAAAATAAACTTTGTTGATTTCTCTGATGTTTGTTATTAAGAATTGAGTGCTGTATTCCTAGATTTTAAATTTGCATTTTGTTTACATTACAAATGTTTAAGTTACTTTTGGGTTTAAATATTCAAAAATATAAGAAAATGAAGACTTTTTCTTTCTCATTTTAGTGTAAAAATGTCGATGTTTTATTGAATTGAGTTATGAGAAAAGAAGAGCATAATGATTATCAGTTCATATCTTACTTGGTGTTACATACAATAGCTAATGCAGTGGAAAAGGCATGTTTGGGAATATTACATATATATATATATATATATATATATATATATTTGCTAGCTGTGGATATTTGGCCTAGGACACAGCTGATATAATAAGAGTATATGTTGATTATGGAATAATTTCACATAGTACTCTTGGGCATTGTGCCTTGTCATATGTTATGGATGCAAGATACCAGTGTTCAAATACTTTAAAAAGAACAGAAATTTATCTTTCACCATTCTGGAGGTGGAAAGTCAAAGACCCGAGCACAGATCTGGTGAGGGCCTAGTCTACCTTACCAGCATGGCATGTTGTTACTACACTACAGGGGAGGGATGCTGTATCTCCACAAGAGGATGGAGAGCATTAGTAGTATTCATGAAGGTGGAGCCCCATCTGACTACACACCCCCACATCTTACCTTCCAGTGACACTGGAAGAGTTGTCCTGACCTTTTATTTCTTCATCCTCTTGGCACATCTCAGGTAACCAAACTTTCATCCTTTTCATATAGCTTTGGAAAGATTCACAGATTTCCCATAGCCAGTTCCTCAGTCAATCCTTAGTCTTTTATCTTCATCACTATTGAGAGTTAAAGAAACACTACCTTTCTTTCCAACTGGGCTTTCTTCTTCAGCTCTCTTGGTGGGTTCCTTATCCATAGTCTGTCCCATAAGCATTGGAAGGAGTTATTAACAATCTAATTACACTCAGTGCTTTGATCCCATCTTTTCATGATGCTTTCAGTACCATCTGAACCCAGATGAGTCACAAATTTCCCTGTCCCAGCCCTGGCCTCTATAAAAGGATGTCTGTGAGAGATTGTTTCCTTTTACCTATCTCCTGTTTGTTAACTTTTTGCAGCGGATTTAATACTTTATGAAACTGTCATTATTTTCTCACTTACTAGCATTGCCTCTTCTAGAATGGAAATATCATATTAAGTAATGAATCTTCTCATGCTTTTAATTTCACTTTCATTTGCTCCACTTCAGATGGTTCATAAATGCTCTGCTATTTAAACATTTAAAATGTAACTTTCCACCACAATTATATTTGTAAAGTACATTTCACATATGTCTGCTCCTCCTGATAAAGAGCATTCTCCTTGTGTAAGTCTTTGTATGTATGCAGTATATAAATCATTATTTTCCTGTGTATTCACATACACCTCACATATATTCATAGAATATTTTATCATTGTTTTACAAAAATTAGTGTCATGTTCTTTGCCTTGTTTTATTTATCTCAAAATACTTTTTTAAGCAGAGAGATGTATGCAAAGGTATGAAAAAAGTCAAATAAAAGCTATGAATCCCTCACATCAGACATAATCTAAAGTTCATCTCACTAATAGAAGAATTTTTCCTCTAAAACAACAAGAATTTATGGTAACAAAACATTTTAATGTATGTATGTCTTTGTAGGGAATTCTCATGGGATGTTTTGTTTTCTTGGGAGGATGGTTCATACTAATCTTTATTTGGTCAGGGGGAGGTAAGGACTTAGGATACAACAAATTTTCTTTGGGAAGACACGCTAAATATGATCCTGGTCTATAGAAATGTAGGCCAGGATTTCTCAGCTTTGGCACTATTGAATCCTAATGCTTTCTTGGAACTAGCCATACTTGTGCATTTCAGGAGGTTTACCAACTTCTTGGCATCCTTTTACTGCATCATAGTACCACTTTCCCTCACATCAGCTTTGACACATATAATGTCTGCAGCTATGGTAGGAACAAATGTAAGCTAGATATATATATGTATTATTACTTATTAATGCTTATTACTCTCAGGAAGTTGAAATCTGAGGATTAAACAAAGCAATTTTAAATTTTGGTCCAATTAGATTTTCTGCAAGGATGAAATTATGTTATTGGACTATCCAATATGGTAGTCATTGTACACTGTGGATATTAAGTGTTTGAATCATGGTGCTGATGAGCTATTATCATTTTAATATTGCAGAAATTTAATTGATGTTCATTTAAATTTCACTAACATATACCTGGTAGTTATTAGAGCAGATAATATAGATACAGAGCCTTGTTTTATTTTGACAGTTTTCTTCATCCACAAATCACAAGTGGATTTTGGTTTTGGAGGAATCATAGTAAAAACTTTTACCTTATTGCATGACTGAAATTAGAAGTTAAATGGAAATGTTCTCTTTTCTTTATTCACATAGAGTGAATAAGATGTTACTAAAAGAAATTGAATTCCACTATTAGGATATTCCCAATAATTATAAAATAGATTTGTAAATATTTTCTTGGACATCATATAAAATACAGATTAAAAACTCCACTTTTCAGTTTTCATTTCAATATTGTTAGGAAAGATTTACAACCTGTTCATCAGTTACCAAACATAAGTACACTGTGAATATTAGGAAAAGGGACAACAAGAAAAAATATCTTACACTGGTCTTGATGATTAAGGTCAGGAAGATACAATCCCAAATGAAGAAATGGTAATGAGACTAATATTTTGAGATTAATATATAATATTTAGTTTCTCTCGCTCAATTAAATTTTATATTGCACCTTAATTCAGTAAAAATATAAAGCACAAGTAATGTAGTCTTTGCTAAGGAAGCATTTGTTGTCATTCATAATAAAATTATTTTATTTTTTACTTTATTTAGTCTCATTCATATAAATTTTAAATAGGCCTCAAAGAATGCTTTACCTCAAACTAGTTAAGTCATATATCTGTACTTATTTTAGTAGATGTGTTCTTGGAAGTGTTGTGGGGCTTAAGCTTCTTATTATGAAAAAAAGCTTTGCTATGCAATGGTAATGACTCATGGAATTCTAAAGTGCATCCCCAGATCTAAAAGCCCCAAACAATCTTTATTCAAATTTTCACTCATTAGTAAACACCCCTCTTCTACCATCAATTTAAATGGATTAGAAAGAGAAATAGTCTCACTTAATTTTCTGCTTTTAGATTTCAGATCCTAAAACCAAATGTAATAAACTATATTCCCTTCTCTTATTTGCTTTCTTGTGATGTGTGCTTTCTAAAAAGAGCCCATGTATTTATTTGTTATCTGAGACTATTTATTAGAGGTATCTGTTAAAAAATGTTGCATTTAAAAACAGTATTTCAAATCACCATGTACATTAGACTTCATTTGATAGGAACACAATTTTCTACAAATCAATTTAATTGATTTTTCTGTGTTAATAGTGTTTTTGGTAAGGAAATATTTGTGCCTTATTACATTCAATTTCAGTATCAGCTAAAGATTTCTATATTTTTTAACCTACAGCTCATTGTATCTTTCACTTTTTTTTGCCATAAATATAAAAGTACTAAACTGCACTTCAGCTTCATCAGGTTTAAAAGTAAAAGACTGCAGTAGAAAATAATGTATGTTTCTTTGTAGATTTCATTTCCAGTGTTTTTGCTTATGACATCCTATAGCACAGTGCTCTTGGAAGAGCTTGATACGGGCTCTTGATTGGAATATGTGAACTGAATCAATGGAGTAACTTAGGGATTATTTTTTACTCTCTTTAAGTGCTTGTACAGAGGAATTTGTGTTCATAAGTGGCAGCTTATGAATACAATGTATCTTGAGCAATGTGACCCCTTTTTTTGCAGTGTTTGTAAAGAGGGCTATATTCTGAAATACACCACTATGTGACACTTGGTGACAGAGGGCACTCAGTAACACCTGAGATGGGATGTCAAGGACTCTACCACAGGATAAAGGTGTGAGAGCCAATGGTCTAGATGCTATTCTTCACAGTTGCATTCTGGAGTGTTCACAAGGCAGCAGTCGGAAGAGTAAGATCCGATCCTGAAGGTGCAGTTCATCTTCAAATGCTGCTTTGGCTGGCACCTTCTCAGTGACCTTCTAATGAGAGTTAACAGGCCAGGTCCTGTTCATTTGCTGTGTCCATAATTAATGCCAGTGGCCATGGATGGT